CAAATTGTGACATTATGAAGGATCATTCTGTCCTGATGTGTTATTGAATATTTGAAGATCGATTTTCTGTAACCGCACTTTTACAAGCACAGGCAAGGCGGAGGATTTTGATCAAGGGCATATTGAAAGAGCGATGATTTTAACAGGAGTGATGTGTTTGGCACCCAAATTATCACTATAGCAAGAAGAGGCTAGGAGCTCAATACTCCTCACAACAGTCATTCTTTCAGTTCTGGAGGAGTTGTGATATATTAGGTTGAACACTAAGTTTTGCAACTGGTTTCATGACTTCACTCTCATTCAACGTGGCGCACTCAAATTTTGGCATTATGTAGATTGCAATGTGAGCTACAAGTGGGCACAAATTGTCTGAATTTTGAACACGAAATTAAAAAGTTTCAGGCATTTTCCGAAAACTAGTGAAATTTGAGAATTTTTGGGGTTTCAAGCTAAAATGAAGCCTTTAGCAGCCTAGACCATGCGCAGTAATCCGGAATCGTCTATAAGTTATTGCTGGAGGTTGACTCCTTTGGCCTATTAAGAAAGAAACAAAATTTAGGGGCATGTCGAGATTTGGCGTCCTCACAGAGTCGAACGAGCCGATGTACGCAAGAGTTGCTGGGGACGACCGTCAATGACTAAAGAGTCCGAAGCTCAAATTCCGCCGAAACTTCACATGGTAAGGTTATTTGACCTGCCGAACGCGAATATCTTATTCATTTGTTGAATCAACGCCATGTTCCTTGTTTAGGGTGAGACCCCATATCGTACAGCTATAAGCTCCTGCAAGACGAAGGCGGTCGATTCAATGCGCAACGCGGCTGCGACATGGCTGCGTCACAGCCGAGTCACAGCCGCGTCACAGCCACGTCGTACCTCGAACCGACCGCCTTCGTCTTGCAGGAGCTTATACAGCAATCTTATGAAAAAGTCCTTATCACGGAATTCACTATCGTTTTCATTATCAGCATGTCTGACAAACCCCTATGCCAAGTTTCAGCCAAATCCGTCAAACTTTGAATTTTTCCCCTTCACACCATACACCCACCTTAACTCTCACTGCGATGGCAGAATATGGTAGGGCAGCAGCTGCGCTTGTAGCTTACGTAATAACCAATATAGTGGCAAAATTTGAGTGCACCATGTAGAGTGAGAGGGAAGTTATGAGACCAGTTGCAAAACTTAGTGTTCAACCTAATATATAGCTTTAGCACCTTCTTCACCTTACTTGACTGTAGTATCCCCTCAATGTGTGAACGAATTCGACACCCTGATCACGACCCTCTTCTTTAGTCTAACAACCAATAACAACCCCCTAGGTCGGACACGCCTACCGCACACTCAACTCACCATAACTGTTATTTCGGGGTGCTTGGAGTGCTGATTTCAAAACTCGCTCCCCCTTCTGCAGAACTCTTTTGGGAGAAAATGGGCCTTTTTATCATAAAATTTTGCACCGTTTTGACCAACTACAACTGATAGAAAGGCTCAAACTGCTTCTTGCGCTACAGGATAACATTGTGAATGGATCAGCATCACATTAAAGGCAGTGTCCGGGCAAGAACTCGATTTTGAGATTTTGTGCTTACCCGGGCCTATTCGCTATGTTAAATCCGAAAATCCACATTGGAAAGCGCGAAAACGACGAAAAAGGGCTCTGACACTGGAGGGAAATCAGCAAGTGGGTGGGGTCTTCCCCACTGTGAATTCACGCTTCCAGCTTCCAGAGAATTTTTTCGAATCCGTTAGCCGTTCTGACATTACTACCGATCAAATGCAAACGAATGACTTGAAACCGGAATCAAAAAGATCGCCCGCGAAGCTAGGAGCGTGATTTCACAGTGGGGAAGACCCCGCCCACTTGCTGATTTCCCTCCAGTGTTAGAGCCCTTTTTCGTCGTTTTCGCGCTTCCCAATGTGGATTTTCGGATTCAGCATAGCGAATAGGCCCGGATAAGCACAAAATCTCAAAATCGAGTTCTTGCCCGGACACTGCCTTTAAGCATAGATAAGCTGTTCCATGTTGGTTTGAGTCCAAGATGCTTGGATTTTGATAATTTTGGCTGCGCTCAGCTTTGAAAATCTCACGCAAATAAAAACACCTCCTTCCAAGAAGCGCTGCAGAAAATGAAGGTAGATTTAAAATCAGCGCTTCAAGCTCTTTGCGACTTGCATCTTCTGTGATGATCGGCCACTTCGAGTTCGCGACCCTCCATTCATAGATGCGATAAAGGGAGGCGGATCTTCTTAAGGTAAACGGTTCTCCCCCACTCCCATCCTGGTAGGATTAAGGTGGTAAATGAGCCCTGATCGAAATGCCCTAAAAAGTTACATATCATTCAAAAGCTGAGCTGATGGAGAATCGAATAACTCCGTCCATTTCTTTCTGGATATTTTAGGCCGGGAAATACGGGCGATTTTATTTGGCTGATATATCAACTGATTTAGTTGCTTTCTCTGCTCTCTTATCAAAATGAAGATGAAAGCTATGGAAAAGTCGACGGTCTGCGCTTATTGACGAAGACTTGCTCTGCAACACAGATAATAATCAGCGGTAGTGAGGTCTTTGTTGAGCAGAAATCTGCTCTTGAAAATGAACATAATTTCAGATAAAATGCGGCATATTCTCGGTAGAGTAGGGCTAGAAAGAGTCGACGGTCTATGCCGAATCTCTGTTTACTAAGCTTTCGAATGGTATATAGGTTGTGACGCGAAGAAACCTGGCATTTCTTAAAAATAGGGTGGAGATATTTACTACTAGCTTGCTCGTCCCGCTCCTCCAATGTATTGGCTTCATTCACAGGGGCGAGCATTTTTTGTAACCAGGAAGCTCAAAGCCCCAACAAGCTGTATACCATTCGAAAGCTGAGATTATGGAGAATCGACACAGACAATCATTTTTCTAGCTTCTTAGCATAAGATGTGAGAGATTTATCTGACCGATATATCTAATCGTTCGTTTTAGGTGACAACAAGTGTTTTTGATTCTCTTTCATTTCATAAAAAAGTGATCTCAATAATGTAACATTTACCATTCAATTTAATCACCTCATATCACACTGAACTGTTTTTGCATTCTTCAGCAAGACTTTTCTAGTTTTTACGAGCATTGACAACCCGGATATAGGCTTACCATAGATACAGATTACTCATTAGTTATTTTTTCATGCTGCTCTTACAAGCAAAGGCTTCCATCTGTTTAGCTATTTCAAAACTTTGAAAAGCCTTAGAAAACCTCAAGGCTTGAAAATAAATATGTTTAAAAAATCTTCCAAAAAAAATGGAAGAAAAAGTAGCAAACAAGTATCAACCATTAAGGTTCTTGAGAAAAAATTCAAAGGTTTTTTTCTTATATTCGTCTTTGGAGTGTTTGTAATTTCAGTTTACTTTATTTCCCATACTTAATCAAGTTTTTACGCTACAGTATCTATTGCAGACGCCTTTGAGATAGTGCGAAAAAAGCAACTACTGTAGTAATTCTCAATGTTATTGATAGAAATACTTCATTTCACGAAATATGTGATTGTTGTGTTTTACGATTGAGGTGAATCTCCAACAGCTTTTTGATCATGACTCGCTCTCAAATTACCTTCCTCAATCAGCATCAGGCGAATTGGGTCATCTGCTTTCTTGCTCAAACGTGAGGGGGTAAGATCATTGCTCCCCTATCGTCTCCCTTGCTAGAGATCCCAAGCATTTCTTGGGGGAGACGGCCCTTTTGAACCGCTCGCTACGGCAGCGTAGTTAATGCGCGTCTCTGATTGGTCGGTGCTGCGGCAGCGACTGGCTTGGCGAGAGAGTCAACCTGCCGCAGAGACGCCAGGCCAGCAGAATTGGACGAGTCGTGCGAACACGCACGCACGCACACTTCCATACACTTCCAACAAACAACACGCCAAGAAACTCAGGCATTTTGCCAAAATCAGGTATTTGGCGGAAACCTGGCTGGAAGTGATGATATAAAGTCTTGTTTCAGTTCTCGCTGCTCATTCTTCTCATTAATTTGCTGTTTTCCTTACATACGCTCGCTCAAAACATTTTGATGTGAAGCATTTGTGTTTTGTTTCATTTGTGCCACGCAAATATTGTTCATATTCTCATAACTAAATATGCATTTGATAATGTCGTAATCGCTAACATTATTTATGTGTTTCTTAGGTCCTTCTGATGCAAAAATATTACTTTTTCAGGTCATACAATCATGGCAATGATTGGCGATGGTTGAAAATAGCTGGAAAGACCAAGGTAGGATGTTATGTGTCTACTGTTGTCCCTGTTAACATAGCCTAGTTTGTTTGGTGATTACTTCTACTTAATCATTACTTGATCTTCGTTAGCTGGTCACAGCTTAGTCCCTATTTTCAGTTTTTATCCTAGTTGTTTCGTTTGTTAGTCACAGTTCTTATTCCCTTTCTTGTCTCACTGAAACTTATTGTATTTTTAGGTGAATGAAGGACCATAAATGAAACGATGACGCCGCAGGAAGCGAGAGCAGAGCGACATTGGTGGAGACGAGATGAAGGCGAGGAATTGTGAATAAATTTCCCTTTTTATTCGATGATTTTTTGATTTTTATGTTAGTTTTGTTCGTTGTTATCTTTCATTTCTGTACTGTTTTGTTATTTTGTTATCTTTTGTATCGTTGTCTACGGCGTGATGGCCCGGGATCACGCCGTAGGTTTTAATAAAATTTGATAGGTCAGTTTCGATACACAAGAGCGATCGCTTGTTCAGAAATATTTACTGTCGACAGACACACCGTGCAATATAGAATACCTACAGTCGAGTAGATTTTGCGGTAAATATAAATAATATATTTCGCCTGCAGATGCGGCAGCACTTACGCGTGTATAATTGCCACCGAATGAGAAATTCTAGGTAATTCCGGTGTTTTCTTTGCTCACTCTTCATTTTTCAGTAATACTTCAATCGACTAAGAGAAGGAGGTAAGTTAGAAAGCAGTTTTGTTATTTTGAACAGTCAAATCGTCGGTTTTGAGTTCATTTGAGTTCAGGTATACCTCCTGGGAGCTGCATCGCCTTTGGCGTTTGTACGATAACCCTTTCTTTTAACTCTTTTCTATTAAAATACGTTTCCTCACCATAATAGGTCTTTTCATAGTCCAAATATTCACCAACAGTGGTCACCTAAAAGTAGCATTGTTTAACATAGTACTCCATTCTACAAGTGAACGTCGAATAGACGAAGAAAACTACTGGCGCGGTATAAAAACGTTCTTCGATGGAAAGGAAATGAAAGAAAGGGTATTATCACAAACGCAAAAGGCGATGCAGCTTTCAGGAGGTACATCTGAACTCAAATGAACTCAAAACCGACGATTTGACTGTTTCAAATAGCAAAACTGCTTTCTTAACTTACCTTCTTCTCCTAGTCGATTGAAGCATACCTGAAAAATGAAGAGTGAGCAACAAATACATTGGAATTACCTAGAACCTCTGCTTCGGCGGCAATTATTCACGCGTAAGTGCTGCCGCATCTGCGGGCGCAGTATATTTACCGCGAAATCTACTCGACTGTATATGATATCTATATATATATAAAACTCAATGTCTGTGAGGATGTTCGTTTAGTTGTTCGTTCGTTATAGAAACGCGCGCCACTGAACCGATCCGGCTGAAACTTCGCACACGTATATATTCGACCCCGGCGGTGGTTTAGAGCTACTTTCCGCGGCGATTCGCCGGGCCATTCTATCGATTTATTGATTTGTTTACTCAAACCTAAGAGAATGAAGGGCCATCATGGCAATCGATCATTTTTACATATAAGCGCGTAAGCAGGGGCGGTAAAGTCCATTTCAGTCTTAAAGTTGGTAGGGTGCGGCAATTAGTCTGAAAGCGCTTTATGCGCATGTTAGAAGGAATCTAGAGGCGTAAGTCTACAAGTTCTGTTGGCTTAACTAACTTGGATCTCGGGTGAGACCGGGGCCACCAGCTAGTTATAAATAAAGAAGATGGTAATAACAAATACATTTATATAACCTTATCGGTAACAAAGTGTGCCATTGTTTGGCAATACTCTACTAAGTTACGGGTAGATACACGGGGGATGTGCAGAAGAAGCTCACGATGTGCCTCCATGAACCTCTCGATGCGCTCACGACGGTCTAAGTCCTTTTTACGAGGGGAATGAATGATTCTCTAAAAGTATTAGTTTAAAATGATGACGTAAAGTCTTGAAAACCTTACTCTTTCCATATTCCTTAGCTTGCACATGGCTCTGTTATCACTCCCTTTTAAACACATAAGCGTCATTCGCACCGGAGCCTTGTTTTCTCGTATGAGAACTCGTAGAATTCTGAAGTATGCATGGACTGTAGTGGGAGAACTTTGTGCTTTGGGCTTACCTATGATAAGTTTGTGTATCCCATCGGCTACCAAAGCTTTTAATCCGTTCTCCACTGCTTTCTGAAATCTAGCTACATATTGATGCTGAACGTGCTTCATGGAGATGGATGGTATAGATGATACCTGCAGCGTTCTTTTCGAATAATAGATGTAAAGCCCTGGTCGGATCTCAAGTCTTCTGGTAGATTGTCGAGCGTTGCTTCCGGTGTATTATGCTTATGAACAGCCCTAAAATTACTTGTATGAGCAGCAATATACAGTCAATGTTAATTACCTGTTCCCTTTTCCGCAAGCGCAAGAGCTTCGCGCCGCGTTCGCGCGCGTATGGCTCGGGCACTCAAACTGGCCCCATCGATTGGTGGCCCGCGCGCGGGCTCTTGCGTCGTGCATGCGTAGTTCCCATGCGAAAGGGAGTACGTAATTGACATCGACTGTAGTCACGAACTTAGCAATTGTTCTTCTTCTCATGCTATGCCCAGTGCCATGAAATTCGTCCATTATCTCTTCCTTGTGGGCCTGGTAAATCGTGGTAGTGCTTACGTTCAACTAGGAACACATTACCACTTACTGAAATGACGCAACAGGGGCAAAGCATCCAGCATAACTTGCCATAATCTTCTGATTACTGCATCGGCAAAGTTCGAATCATTTCTTATTTTCTGCAGTTTCTCATATAACATTCGCTCGACATAGGTAATTGGTCTTATACTTTTTCGGGATACAGTGGTGGGGCAACATACATGGATCTTCTTGAAAATTATCATCAATCACCTGAAGTAATTTCGAGGATAGAGGATTATATCTACACACAGCTTCATTACATCTGCACATTCATCCACTTACATCTACTTGGGTATGGCACCCTTCCTGCAATAGATGCATTTGTACGCCGCGCAAAACTTCTTCTTCTTATGGAAGGCAAAGACGTAGCCTGGATCCACCTGGAATACGATAAACAAGCACACCGTGCTTTCCATACTTACTTACCTGTCGCTCTCTTCTATACGTAGGTCTATTGTAATTATTTAGTTGTAATTATGTTAGGAGGAGGCAGCGAGGATATAGCAGGCTGGAAAGTGCGCTGTTCTGAGGTTTCGGCTGGTGTTGGATTCGCAAAGGTAAAAATCGCTGTTGAAGACTGCGTTGACGAAATCGAAGGTTCAGGAGTTGGCACAAGAGTTGACGCTTGCGTTTCAACAAAAAGCTTTTGAGGTGCCGGCGCATGTAACACAAAGCGAGCTGTAGGAATTATCCTCGGGTGGTGCTTGCGCGGGAGCTTGAACTAAAAGCGGTGCAGCAGCTGGGCGAGGAAGCAAACGGCACAAGGTAACTTGAGAAGACGCAGAAACCTCATGAACTTGAGGTTGCACGCGCGAGCTTACAGGAATAATGTAAAGATTGTTGGGCACTTGCATAGGAAGACATGATGAATAGGAAACGTGTTGGTTGGGCACAGTGATATTCTCTACCGTTTATATACCGTATCTGCCGCCTTTTAGCCTAGGGCATACCCATAGGTACGGTATTTGAACGTAGGTACGGTATTTGAATGTACCGTAAGATTCCCAATGCCATTACAGTAACTGCGATATCAAATTGTTTGAAACATTGATCATTAAAGCTTTCGTGCACAAATTTTGAGCTGCAAGCGTGTCAAAACGTATGTTTTCTCTAACGATACATGCTTGAAAACGCATATAACTTAGAGGTTATGGAGTTCTAATTCTGTACGCAAGGTTCATGTGTCAATATCCATGACAACATACATATAGCAACAGAACTATCCAGCTTTCAAGACAAGCTAAAATCGAGGTACTACTGCGTTAGATTTATTTGATGTATGAATGAGACCAGCCCACTAGGACATAGAATCTAAAACGCGACCTGGAATAATCGTTCAAGATACGTTTGAATCTGGAAGTTCAGGATATCTATGCATGGATCATGCATTACAAATCATGAGCACGTGCTCAAAGCTCCCGAACTTCCCAGCGGACTTAATTACTTCTACAACAACTAGAATTTGGTAGAAATAAAACCGTGTGAAAACAAATAGTAAACAAAATAGTAAATAAAGTGTAAGTGGTAAAACACAATCTCTGGAAGTTTAGGTTATCTAGGCATGGATCATGTAGCACAACTCATGAACACATAAGGAGCCCTGATCACTCCAGAAAAACATAAACGCACCTGTGCATGTTCGAAAGATTGTAGAAATATGAATCAGAATAGAATACAGCAATAGCAATATTCTCAGGCCGGCAAAGAAGTAGGGATTCAGCAGTTCTTTCAGCCAGATTTGAATATGGTCATAGGGACAGGGAACGAATGAACACTCGTAGCTTCTCTTCAGTCATTTTCGAGTGTGAATTTAGAAATATGCATCAAATTATAGCAGTGATACAGTGGAAAACACGGCGCTATCTAAATCTACAGTCTGCCCCAATCCCAACCAGGCCAAAATTGGCATGGTGGGAGTACGCGTCGCTAGGGTTTTGCGGTCACGCCCACGGCCTGCTTCTTAGCTCTCTCTTCAGTTCTTTCGCTATCTCCCACAGCGCGCATATGCAGCGCAGACTGCTAGCGCTGCGAGCGCGCAAAGTTACGCCGACGGTTCGGCCTGATCCCGATTGGAGCAGACTGTACTTAAACGGCTGCGCGGGCGGTCGCGTGCGCGTCTTTACTGCGTTTCGGGGCCTCCGTCGCGATTGCTCGCGCGTCCCTGTTCGAGCTTTGAAGAGTAGTTCATTCTGCTTGAAGTTTATTAGTGTTGGTACGAATAGCTTTTTTAAATAGAGGTTAGTGAGAAGAAACAAGGCAGCTGAACATTCATTACCCGAAAAATCTTCTTTTATATGGTCAATACCTCTACATTAAAGTGACTTTTCGTCTACATTATTCCACTGCAAACAGCAGTTATATCTTTGCTAGAAAGCTTCTCTGACTGTTCCAATAATACTGCGGAACGTCTCATTATGTGACAGACTTTCTTCTTGTTGCATAGGTTTTCATCATATCCTATTGCTAAGTTTTGCCGTGGAAATTGTTCCATTGTATAAGTAGGGGAGGTTTGGACGAAATCCATCCTAAAGCTTCCCATTTCTCACTTCGGATTTCAAGGGGCCAACGCTTGGGCATTCGTTTGGAGGTCTACCATTCTTGTAAATGGAGACATCCAAGAACGTTGTACAGAGGAAAAACAATCAAATTAGATTGAAAGGCTTGTGTGGTTCCAGGGACTCTCAGCCCCGGAATAGTTGAGTTTTATTCTTTCTTAACATGTTCTTCTTGTGAGATTGAAGGGTTAGGCTTTACATTGATAATGCTCTGCACACTGGTAAGTGCATTTTGTTAGTCAAAACGCTGTCCAAGCTAAACTGATTTCCTATGACAGAAGCTTAAGTTTATATGGAAAACGTATCTGAACTATCCAGGACCATCATCCCATACAAAGGTGCCTCGGAAGGAGAAGAATGATGTTCGTTCCAAGTAATATCACATTGACACTATTTTCATCAGAAGCATCGATGTGCAAGCAATAGTCTCTTATCCAAAATGGTGTAAATCTTGTTATAATGCCTTGTCTCTAGGAAAAGTTTACGAGCGTCAAAGCGGGTTACATGATGGTACGAGTTTACCTTGCTTGATAAGAGTCTCTAACGTGCTTCTCACCACGCACAATACTGAAGTTAGGGGTATGTGTGAACCAAGCAAGTACGAAGGCAAACGAGACCGAAGTCCCGAAACGTAGTAAAGACGCGCATGCGACCGCCCGCACAGCCGCTTAAGTAGATTTATATGGCGCCGGGAAAACGCGCAGTGCATCTCGAGTAGGCGTGGCGGACAACTCGTCCAATGTGGGTGGTGCCGCATACGCGACGCATGCGCGCGCCTGCTGTCTCTAGGGTAGGCTAACTGGCGCTGGGTCCGAGCGGTTCAGAAGGGCGTACACCCCATTGCCAAGAAATTTCTTGGCGATGTTCTAGAAAAGGCTTGTTGGGGGCAGCTTGGATTATCATTATGTCCTAGGGAGCAATCCGCAGACAGCCGTAATCATAGGCTGTACCAACCAGCATCGGTTTTGCGCTGGTATGCCTTGCGAGAACGCACGGTCGCATGCGACGAGCTCTCGTGCGTGAAAGAGTTCGCACGCGTCGCCCGCATCGTCGCAAGCTGCCGCAGGCGCGACGTCGCATGACCGATGCTGGTTGGTATAGCCTATATGTCCTGCAGGTGCCCCATCCGATTTGAGCTGTGGTTTCTAAGTTTTCGCCTCGCATTTTTGAGATCCTTACAGCAATGTATTGTTGTCTTTTTCTTAATATTATCTGGCTGACAGTAAATTTTCAAACTGATTTCTTTTACAGGTGATACCATCACGCACCAGGGCACGTTACAAACCATTGCCTTTCGTTCGCATCCAATCTTATCTACGTTGAAGGAACTAGCAGAACTCTTGAAAAACTTGAATAGAGCAAGCCTTCCTTTGGACTGAAAGCGTCGCACTTTCGCCTACGCAGCGCCAAAAAAATTGATGCCAAAGCAAGGCTGCTTGTTTTTCACTGCATACTTGTAGTACCATAAAAAATCCATTCAAAAGTTCAAACAGAGCATCAATGTATAGAACTCCCAAAAAAATCTCTGCTTTGTAGAAGATGAGAGGAGATCATTGCCACTGATAATGCAGTTGATCTCTCCTCCTATGGCCTCGGGCAGAGTTCACGCAAAAATCGTTGCCATTCAGTCATTACAGACAAATGTTACTAGTTCATTGCATGCCGATCTTCTTGCATTTCGGTTGTGATAGTTTTCCAACACGACTAATCGTGACTAACTTCACAACCGAAATACAGGAAGATCGGCACGATGACTCGTAACACTTGTTTTGTAGCGATTGAATCGCGACCAAATCGCGCGAACTCCGTCCGAGGCCTATGGCCGAATAATATTGCCGCTTTTCATTGCTGCAGTTACATAATCCTCAATCTTGTAAGACATTTAAAAAAAGGTTGTGGAAGCTCTATTAGAGCAAATTGATTGAAGCGAATCCGACTAAAAAGAGTTACCGATTGGTATGTGTAGAAAACAGGAACTGTTTTCAAGCATTTTCGACATTGATGAGCTTAGAGGGTGGGCGAAATTGTTCTCTAGCTTTCAGAAAAACGGTATTTACATTTCGTTAAGCCACTTTTCTAAGAGATGGGCATGACCTTGTTTCCACAAAGTCTAATCAGAATCATCTGACGAGGAAGGTACCATTAGTCGAGGTGGCCATGTGGAATGAATCAAATGCCATTTTCAAATCTGACATACATTCAAACCTAAAACTCCTTCTTTTTGAAGTCAGCCATTGATAGGCGTTGAAACGAAAGATAGTTAATCCTCAATATACGAGGTGTAAAGTTGAAGGGTGATTTAATTGTGATGGTGTTGACATGCGGTAATTTAATGAAAACTTATATTTATTAGAACTGCGTGAAAAATTAAATCATTCATTTGAGAAGGATTTCAAGGAAAATGTGAATAAGATAATGTCTTGGTCTGATATCTTAAGCATTTATGTGGTTTTCATGGCTTCAGTTCAAATTTCTGGTCAATTTGCTTTGTTTGATCTTCTTCTTGTTCTGCTCTTTGCGATCAGTTTTTCTCGAAGAGAACTCTTTCTCAAACGCTAACCATTCTGGAACTCTTTTGACGCCCTTAAGTGCACCCTGAAAATTTTAGATTTTGCCAAGGGCACGTCGAGAACAAAAGCTTTTGTTTTGCTCGCGTCAGAGCACAACGAAAAGTATCTTTTGAAAGTGTCAAGAACAAAACAAGACAAAATAGTCAAAAAACTACGTCTATATCTGGATCCTTGGTGCAGAACATGACACATGCCACAATTGTAGACATAAAGCATAACGATATTATCTGAAGACGAAGATGTTAACTGAATTTAAAATTCAAAAGAAAACTCACCAAAAGTCCAACGATGATAAGCGTTCGGTAAATGTAAGGTTTCAAAGCAACTACAGCCTGTCTCGACGAGCCGAAATTGTATATTAGGTTACCTGAAAGTTTTCTGATCTGAGGTCAGACTTAACATTTAACACAAGATTCATCAGAATGCGCATCGCATGTGTGCCTCAAAAGCTGTATGTAGATGCTTTACACAAGCTGAGTCTTCATATTTATATTGACGTGCCTACGTTAGTCAAAATTCCGTTTACATAGCAGGAATTGTTATAGAAATAGTCTACCTGCTCCCGGAAACAATCTTTCAACAGCAGCTGAGCATTTGTCATCGGAATGGAAATCGGATGCTTCTTTAGTACATCTTCTCAAATTCGCGCTACACAGTTCTTTATCAGAGTTGCCATCTATGCAAAAGTTATAGAGCAGGACACAAGACTTTATTATTTCTGGAAAAGTACGTGTCAACGAGCAAAGATACAGTCAATGTCAATTGCGTACTCCCTTTCGTATGCGGAACGCAAGGGCCCTGCGTACGGACCTCATCGATGAGGCCTATTTAAATGTCCGAGTTACACGCGCGAACGTGGCGCGAAGCTCATTGCGTACACGGACCATACCGCGACGGGCTCGCGTTGGTAGTAATTACTCAGTATACTCGAAATCTCGAAATTCTGAACATGCGAAATTTCAAGTGATCTTTTTATTTGAATGTCAAATAATTTCTGGCTTGTTTCAGAGTGTATTACTCGCTCTGGCGGGCGACGGAGCGCGTTGCTGACTTTCAGCACTCCGCTTGCAAACTAAAAAAACCGATCACAAGTAAACCTCTCATGCATTCTCGCTCTGTTTTTCCGCAGTCAGATCGTGGCTTTTGTGACGGAAGCAAAAGCAGGAAACAGTTTTTCTGGAAGGCAGGGAGAGGAGTGCGGATCAACTATTTGTTTTCTGATGACCATCTGTTCCCTGGCAAGTGTTTGAGTAGCAGTGAGTAGTATGATCTGACAGCAGTTTTTCTGTTTTGAGAAAAGGTCTGATTTATGCCAAACTTCTTCGTTCGCATTTGTACTTGATACCAGCAAGTGACGAAAGATGGCACTGAGTCTCTAGAAGAAAAGTTGACTCAAATATAGATATTACCTGTCGTTGGCTAATTGATACCTTTGTGATGTAGCTAGAACTGAGCCCAAACAATGAGGTATGAGGCCTAAGTAATAACGCTGATGATCAATCTCAAGAGATCAACTCGTTTGTCATCTTTTCTGACACACATAAGAGGTCTTATATACGATATCTAATGTATAGGGCATTCGAAAAATCGTGACGATGGCGCGACCGCGCGCGATAAATTTTGTAGTTAGAAGCGAATTCGTGTTCGAATAATTTATTCGAAATATTCGACTACTCGAATAGTCGTCCGTTCAGTCGACGATTTGGAAAAATAAGTTATTCGAATATTCGTTCATTCGGAGTTTTAAAAGACAGTTATTTGAATATTCGAATATTCGAGCCAAATTGAAAGACAGATATTCGAACATTCAAACATTGAAGATCATTTATTCAACATTCGCTATCAAAAGAAAACTTCGACAAAACTACATTGAGTGCAAGTAAGAACCCGATCGGTCAAGCATACAATTGATAATAAGACCTAATGATTAGCAAGGTTCCCTTTCAAGGCAATCGCGAGTCATGCGAAAACATAGTGATGACAAGTCTTACGCATAATTCATTTGGAGTAACTATCTTCTGGAAATCACGTCTGCAGTAATTGAGATGCGATATCATGCACAAATATCTCCAAGCTTTGAATTGGGTGAAGAAGCAAAGCCGTCATTAGGCGCCACTTTAACTGGCCACTGGTTCTCAAACAGCTTGCATAAGCACGTGAGCGACCAGCAGTCTTTCAAGGCAACACGTATTGGCAACATTCATTACTTCACCCTGAGATCTCCATTTGCCTTGCCAGCCTAATCACCGCCCGCACGTCAGAATACCTAGAAGATACGTTGACGCAACTCTAGGTTGGAGAAGGCAGTCGCAAAGCCTGAGCCGCTTGACTTGTGGCGACAGCCTGTATGTCAGTCACCATACTCAAATCGGCTGCCTTTATAGTCAGGGGGCATAAAAAGCTAGTGTAATTGTTGCAAAGTTTATAAAGGAACAATACTTTGAGTAGGCGTGTATGTTGAACAACAATTATTTTGAACATGAGTAAAAGATGTGGAAGATCTCTTACAACAAAAGTACAAAACTCAAAAACACAGCCAAAACAACTTTGTGAAAATTTAATCCTATATCAGAAACTGTGGAACTCAGCGATTGATAGTTTCCGACAACTATTAGATTAGCAGCTAATAAACAGATATTTCCATGACTTTTCTTTCTCTAAATTTAAATGTACACAAAAGTATTATGTAGACAACAGTGCACCGCCTCTGCTCTGAAATTCACTGATTCCATTACTGTAAGCCTTTCTCGTGCTCTCCCAATGGTAGTCTTGGAATTCTTACAAGGAGAGGATACTTAGTCGAAAGCACCAATCCAGATGAGACATATGCCATCTTAAAGCGGTTGAAACGCTGATTCCAAATCTGCAGTTTCTAGCTGCGGAGCGGTTTTGTAGGAGGAGTTATGAAGGGTGTCCCCCTCTGGGGTTTAAGCGCCCTGCGGCGGTCTCCCCGCATCTCTAAGCACTGTAGAGGAGTATCAGCTGTGGCAACTGACCTAATGGTGAGTAACTTGAATGAAGATTACAGTAAAGACTGTAATACTCATACTACTTTGGTTTTCTTAACACTTCTAACTTCGATTAGTATTAATATCATCAAAAGTTTCATGCTTTAGAGCTTTAAAGCCATTTAGAAATTCAATTTAGCATGCGAAGGAGATTAAAACCTCAACACTCTCTTTATCAAGCATGTCACTTACCACTAGGTCAGTTGCCATCAGTTGGTACTCCTCTACAGTGCTTATAAATAGGGAGAGACCTGGTGGAGGGCGCCTCAACCCCAGAAGAAACACCCCTCATAACTTCCTCTACAAAACCGCTCCGCAGTTAGAAACTGCAGATTTGGAATCAGCGTTTCAAGCGCTTTAAGATGATATATGTCTCATCTGGATTGGTGCTTTCGACTAAGTATCCTCTCCTTGTTAGAACTCACGCGATGCTGATCATCACGTATAAATTACAACTAACTACCTATTCCAAAAGGTTTTTCATGTTGAATCTGTAGCTTTGGGAAAAAGTAATGTGTAGCTCGGGGAGAAATTTCTGTGAGAAAGAATAAATGCGGATTCAAAACGGTTACTAACAAGGGAGGTTCACTTATTCGAAGTGGCGTTTCGGAAGGTGATCTACACCAGTAGATAGAGCTTAAAAAGCTGATCTCAGATATGCCTTCTATATCTGCGATGCATTGTTCTGAAGAAAGTTATGAGCTTTCCTAAAGACAAATTTTCGTGCATTTTGAGTGGTAAAATCAACATAATCTCTACACAAAAGTGTGCAAGTTTAAGCAAACCACCTAGTGAGCATTGTAGGTCTAATTTGAGTTCATCCGAACGATTTGCGAATGTTTTCCGACCATGTTGTTTATTCACAGGTAGTCATTTCTTTCCTAGATCACACTTCTATTGTATATAAAAAAATGCCACAACCTCCATCTAGAAAAACGCGTCCGGAAACTTTTTGGAAACTATCAATGGATAGAACGTACGATGTCTCAAATATTAGGTCGTTCCGAAAGTTCTTTCCGTTTTTTCAACCTATCATAAAAAGACGTGGTATGAAGGTAGGGAAACGTTTTGGGCAACATACGACGCAGCTTTTCTTCCTCTTTCTAGCAGTCATACTCCCATGTCGCTTACTCTTGTGATCACTGAGATGATGGCCGAAATTTCGAATCCATGGTTTTTACCGTGTCCAACTTTGGCAATTTTTCACAATCTTCTTTCTTGACTTTTGGGAAAGCTTTGATAACAGCCAGATAGAGTAAACAAAGTGCAATTTAATGCAATTTTTCGGCGTTGATAGCTAGCTTTAAAAAATTTTTAGAATTATTTTCCTGATGCTATCAAATTCCATTTTTGAGGATGCCATGAACCATAGAGCATGAAGCGGCGCACAACTAAGGTGTCATTCAATGCAGCTTTTCCTTCTCTTTCTAATGAATATATTTTCTTTCCAGTTTGTGGGGCCTTTGGCGATAAATTTCCCATAATTCTTGACTTTAAACCGGCCCCAGCCTGTACACGTAAAATGCGAAACCTTATATTTCCAAGCGGTAAACGCTCAGTTGCTTTCTAAAAATTGTGGATAATCGTAACTGACTTTTGAAAGCTTCAAAATCCGTGGATTTGCCGGTGTTCGGGCGTTTCTGTATTTTGGGACTTTGCAAAAGTGAAGACTTTTGGAAAAATTATCTCAAAAAATAGTGAAAGGCCAGCTGGATATGCGAAAAAATTGCATTGTATTGCACTTTGTTTACTCTATCTAGCTGTTATCCAAGCTTTCCCAAAAGTCAAAAAAGAAGATTGTGAAAAATTGCCAAAGTTGGATATGGTAAAAACCATGGGTTCGAAATTTCGGCCATCATCTCAGTGATCACAAGAGTAAGCGACATGGGAGTATAACTGCTAGAAAGAGGAAGAAAAGCTGCGTCGTATGTTGCCCAAAACGTTTCCCTACCTTCATTCCACGTCTTTTTATGATAGGTTGAAAAAACGGAAAGAACTTTCGGAACGACCTAATATATCTTCAATATCTGCGACGCGTTTTTTAAAATGAAGGTTATGGGCTTTTTTGTATATATAATGGAAGTGTGATCTAGGACGGAAATGACAACCTGTGGATAAACAACATGGTCGGAAAACGCTCGAAAACGTTCGGATGAACTCAAATTAGAACTACAATGCTTACTAGGAGGTTCGCTTAAGCTTGCACAATTTCGTGTAGAGATTATCATGATTTTCCGGCTCAAAATGCACGAAAATCTGGCTTTAGAAAAGCTCATAACTTTCTTCAGAACAATGCATCGCAGATATAGAAGGCATATCTGAGATCAGCTTTTTAAGCTCTATCTACTGCTGTAGATCACCTTCCGAATCGCCACTTCGAATAAGTGAACTTCCCTTGTAAGTAAGGCTTAATAGCCTTCCTAAAGGACAATGAAACCTTGAACTATATGTTTCAGTAAAATTTTTCTGTTTTTTAGATAGAACGCAACCTGACCAAGCGCAATAAACCATTCGTTCTTACCACTTGCTAAGCATATAATTATCAGCTACATATCTAGATCGAATATAGCTTGATTTTTCTTGCAGAAAACTGCAACAAAGAAAAAACCAGCAATATATCGAATATTCGGACAGGTATGATTATTCGAATATTCGAATAATTCACTAATCAATCATACCTATCGTCGAGTCATTCGTAACTTAATATGCCCATTGCACACCATGTGTTACTGGACGCACTGCAGAACTAGAGCTTGCTAATTTTCAGTGGTTTCTCCTTATGCCTGGTCTTTTTTGTTTTGTTTAATATATATTAATCACTAGAACATATTTCTGCAATTTAGCAGATTAGGAGAAGTTTCACCGAAAAAATACTAGTAGGGGTACCGTCGCTAGTAGCGTGTAGTGTGCAGCCTCAACATTAAGTTACAAATGACTCGAGGATAATTATTCGATTATTAGATTAGTCGAATATTCGACCAAGCCCATTTATTCTTATATTTGTTTTTATATTTGTGCATTCGAACTTTAATCTGTAGAATTATTCGAATATTCGAATTCGAATAATCTGAAAATCACAGTCGAATAAAATTCGTTCGTTCGAATATTTTTCAAAAGCCGATATATTCGTTCGTTCGACGAACTTTTTCAGTCGTTTCAACTATAATACATTCCCAGTTCATTTTGCGCAATCACAAGTTTGTTCTAGAACGCTGACGTTAAGGTGTTGTGCTGCCTCGCCAACTAGAAGATGGCAATTAAATAGGTGAGCAGAATAAGCACGACACTTACTTCCAATCCATGGGCAGGCATCATAGAGATCATGGATGCCGTCACGCAACTCGTCATCATCCGGTACTAATCGAGAAATTGTCTTTGGTTCTGCAATAGAAATGACTCCTCTATGAAACCCTAATTTTCGAACAAACGATAACAGAAAATGCAACTAAAGAATCCTTCCGCAGTTTATCAGGAGAAAGCTTTATATTTATTTATCTTTATTAGCACCACCTGCACCTCTGACGAGTCGCGCATTTTATTGCATTAGAGACAGCGGTCTGTGCAAAGGAGCCGTAAACGAGAACTATTCTTGAAACACCGCAAGTTTTAAATTTGAGTTCTATAGAATGAAATATTTAATGATTTCAGTGAGGCAACATTATTTCTGCAATAGAGAATACCAACTTTGGCGCTACTGATACTATTGACCTGTACATCACAGCTAACAACAGCAAGGTAAAGCTTATGATAAGACGGATACACCCAGTCTAGAGTTTATCTGTGGTAGATCCTTGCTGTGGTATTCGCGGGTGTTCAGACCGTTCGATTCTTATATACTTTGCTTATAAGATCTTAGGATTCAAATAATTTTCAATCGCGCACTCGTAAAAAATGATAAACGTAGTGTTCGAGGATAAAGAATACGAACAGTGCATTTTAGCGAAATTCTCATAAAATCTAGACATTCATAATCCGTGACTATGAATTCGCTACAACCACCTCTCATGCATTTCCTGCAGTAGCAGGCTTTCAACACGTGAACGAGTTTCCTGCGAGGTTGCATGTTGATTCCATGAAGGCACTGTCCAGGCAATCTGGGCGCATGGGTTTTTTGCTTGGAAACTGATGAAAGGGTCCTAACTAAGGTATCCTCCAACTGGCAGTGGAAATGATTCCTTCACGGCTCAAAAATCCGTCCCCAAAAGCTCCGCGCCTGCTCCGTGACCTTAACTCGCGAGTGAATTGAGACGAGTTCCAGTACGAACGTAGTGATAAAGTGAGTGAAGTCATTTCCGGTTGCGTTCACGGCGCAGGCGCGAAGGAAATTGGGCACGGATTTCTCAGCCGTGAATGAACCATTTAGGATGCCGCTTGAGCAATGCGTTAGTTAGGACCCTTTAGTTTCTATGCAAAGAAAAGCCCTGGCGCCGGTTTAGCGGGCTGAACGCGGGCTTTAAGTCCGCAACAAAAACAATCTATCTGCGAAAAAACAGAGCGAGAAAGAAATCCACGAGCGATGTCTGAAGTTGTGAACGTTCTCCAAACTTCTGCAACAGGAGTGAAGTAAGCAAAACGCATTTGCGGTGTCCGCCTGCCCCGTTGGTGAGATGAGATTTTATACTGCCTTTCGCGCTTTCTTCCGTGGAGGCTCTTCAAGGCACGCCGACGTCCTTTTCAATATTGGCTCCACTTGTATTTAAGTCGCTAATCAGCTAGATTTGCGAACTGGCACGAATAGCTTTCTTCTCGAGCTGTTTGAAACGAATACTGGAGCGGTCCTGAGTTTGAGCTGAAGTATTTTTTCTTACTCTTTGTCAAAGAGAGTAGATGTTCAAACCCTTGAGTTGCAGAAAATGTAACATTTTTACGGTTCTTCCATATGTAACGGTCTGATCATTAGTCTATTAACTAAGTTTTGCAACTGAGTCCGTAACTTCTCGCTTTTTGATACTGACGCGCTCAAATTTTGACATTGCATAGACTGCCGTGTGAGCTATAAAGCGGCATGAATTTCTCGCTTTTTGATGACAATGTAAAAAAAATCAAGGATCTTTTGAAAACTGGTGAAATTCGAGGATTCTTGGGTCTCAAGTATGAAACCATTCTTGACCTGAGTCATGCACAACAATCCGAAATTGTGCACAAATTGTTGCTAGAGGTTGACTCATCTAGCGCCGTAAGGAAGAAATGGAATTCGGAGACAACTGAAGATTTGGCGCTCTCACAAATTTGAACGAGCCGCTGTACGCAAAGCTGCTTGAGGACAAGAGTCATTCACTAAGTAGTCGAAGTCTCAGAATTCGCCAAACTTTCCATGGTGGGGTTATTTGCCCTGCCGAATATCATAACATATTCGTTAGTTGAATGAACGTCTCATTTTGCGTTTAGTGTGAGGTCCATACCGTAGAACTACGGTATCCTTACAAAAAAGCCCCTACCATGCGAAACCAATATCGTTTTGGTATCAGCATGTCAGATAATCCCACGCAAAGTTTCATATAAATTCGCAACAATCTGTAAATTCTCCCCTTTACCGTAGATTAGAACAGAGAGTCTTAGAATAGCTCCGGTATAGCTGTCATGTTCATGTCCAAAGCTGAAGCGCCATCGTGGAACACAAACCTTTTTTGACAAAGGAGGTATTGTATGATCGTCTCCACGATTCATGTAGAGGCTTGCGGACTTTCCCTGATTTTAAGAATGAGCTTGTTAAACCTCCACGTCATAGCATTGTTTTTCGTACTCTCTCGCCACCAAAAATCGCCACGCTTTGAGTTGGCAAAACTCCGCGTCTACACGAATTGTGGAGTCGATGACAGATACACAGATGACTGTTTAACAAATCAAATTTACTAGAGAAAAACCCAAGGATGACTGGCTTGCATTCTCGAACATGCAGATGAGAATTGCTAGAGGGGAATTCAGGACAAGATGGTATCACCTAGTTCGAAAGATATTAGTGCACTACATGTCGGCACATCCGCGCCTTTTAAGAATTTTGTCATCAAAAATATGTATGAAACAGCATCACAAGTTTCATCTGAACTACAAGAACGCAACCATTCTTTGGAAACGGCGGACAATGTAGCAAGTAGTAATGGGTACCGTTCACAAAAGTTCCATACACCTCGATTTTGCTGCTAGACGGGCAAGTGAGAATCAAAAGAATTCGTTCTGCTTACCTTTCATTAAAGGTAGAATAAGTCGGGAGGTTTGCAAAAGCTTAGTTCAGGCCGGATTACAAGATATAGTAAGGGTGATAGAAATATTTCTAGCAAATCTCATGCAACAGCAGTGCGCAATCGTTCCTATGATCGTCCCTGCATGAACCATGCTTGCCCGATTTGCCGTATGGGAAAGAGGGAGATTGTATGATATCCGGCGTTATCTACCACATGACATGTTTTGCTTGCGGGACTACTTACATAGGAGAAACAGGGTTTCCACTAGTTGCTCGTATCAAAGAACATCTAGATGGTTTGCAAAAGTCCAAAACCTCTACTCTACTTGGGGCTCATCGTATAGAATGTCATCAAAGCACCACCATAGAAGTTGCCGCATCAGTTTTAGTGCACGAATATGAAATTTTTGCGCGTAAAACCCTTGAAGCTTCTCCATCTCCGCCCTTTCTCCCCAAATGAATAAAAAGATGACAGTGATAGCCATTGTAAGCGATACACTTGCCACCTTCTTGGGGACTATAAATACACAGCGAAGGAGGGTCACGTCAGTTCATTCAGTTCTGCTATCTTAAAATAGTGGACAGTGGCGGCCGCGGTCAGTCTTTAACTGTCGCGATTGAACTCTTGCTACAGCGCTCTAAAGAAGGCAGTACATCGCCGAAACGCGTAAGTCATCTAATTGATTTCTATACCACCTTAGTTAAGCTTAAATAAATTTAAACAGTATCCTACTATAATAACGCGCTAAGGCCGTCTGTTTTTTGTGTGTGTGTGTCTGTGTGAAAATCTGCCTGTCACGAAATTCATAGAGGAAGTTGCAACTAAGCTATCAGGCTGCAATTCTGCTTAACATACCGTGTCAGCGTGTGGGCCCACCATACACAAGGACGAGCCGGTTCGATAAGCGGGTCCCTCAAAATTTGCGCGTCAAACGGGTCCACGCGCCTCTTAGCACGCAAAACTGGGTCGCTAATTCGACTTTTTGCAAAGTTATGATTTGCCTGACAAATAACTTTGCATGCCATGAATTCTAGCCCAAAAAGTGCTCAAAAAGTTTGCTTTTTTGCGAAAACAGCGTCAAAAAGTGATGCACGCGTAGGTAGTCGATTTGGCAAGGTTTTAGTTGAAAATCTGAAAAGATTTTTGTATTGAAATGTAGCCCAAGGTGACTATTATCCTTATCGATTATCAAAATAAAATAAATTCAGTAATCCGTTCAAATTCGCATTTGTTTCCTTGCAACAAATTTTTTTCTCTCAAAATCACCGAACTTACATGGAGATGCTTCATGGATAAACAGTTGTTTACGATTCATTTATGATGCTCAGCATCGCGTGGTGAGTTTCAAAGCCATTCTCATGCGAACATAAGAAAGGTATACGATAGGGAACCAGTGCGAACCTCCGCGAAGCGGAGGTGACGCACTGGTTTATATATAACCAGTGCGTCACCTCTGCTTCGCAGAGGCTCGCACTGGCCCTACTTTCTGTATGCTTTACTCATTCCCGCACAAAAGTGACAATGAAACTCACCGCGCTATGCCGACTTTCACGAATGATTTGTAAACAACCATTCATACTAAAAGCTTTTCCATATGAGATCGGTAATTTCTCGTGAATGAAACTTTTCCCAAAGGAACTAATGCTGATTTGAGTCGGTTTTTGGAGTTTTCATGGCTTGGCATTTGCCATAAGATACACTGTCACCGTGGGCTACATCTCTGTGCAAAAATCTTTTCAAATGATCGGGTAAAATCTTGAGAAAGTGAACAATTACGCAATCAAGTCTTTTTGGCGCCGTTTTTGCAAATTAATAAACTTTAGTTCAGGTTTTTGAGCTAAAGTCCATCGTTTGCACATAGACTTGTCAAACAATCCGTGACCTTGCGAAAAGTTGTGCTACAGGCTCAAATTCATTGACCAAAGGCCAAGTGGATCCGATTGATTTGCATTTTTTGAGGGATCCACACGACGGATCCGCTCATGCTCTTGTACAGTGGACTCTAATGTAAGTAGCATGCTCTGTGCAAAATTTGGGCTCAAGAAATTCATTGGAACTCGCTCCATGAATTTCGTGACAGACAGAGATTCAGACACACACACACACACAAACGTAAACAACCCTTAGCCCGTTATTATAAGTTATGATGCCGAGGTTAAAGTAACAGTCGGATTTTATCGATCTGATCATCGTCTACTCTTATCCTGACTTCTTTAATTTTCGCTCCCAGGACACCTGAGGCCGAACGTATAATCATCGAGGTAACTTTGAGCTCAAAACATGGAGTGAAGATCACTCAATAAGTAAAGAACGGGTCTCATTCGCAACGTTTTCAATCATCTTTGATCATCTTACTATTTTGTTTACTAGTTTTATCATTCTTCGATACATACCAAGATACTATATATATCTTGGAGTCATTTGTAACTTAATATGTGAGATTGCACACTAAGCTCTATTAGCGACGGCACTCATACTAGTAACTTCCTACTAAAACATTTTCTAACCTAACAAAATGTAGAAATGTATTCTACTGACTAACATATAACAAACTAAAACAAAAGAAGCGAAGAAACAAAGAGCAATCACTGGAAATGAGCAGGTTCTAGTTTCGCAATTCGTCAGTTAGCGTGAATAGTGTGCACTATGCATATTAGGCTAAAAATGACTCGACGATAAGTGCAAATCCTAAATATCGTATCCAATAAAATCTGTGTGTGACTTTCCCGAAATGAGTCACCCGCATGCTGGACCAATTTCGTTTTCTACATACCCCTGCTAGCAGGTCGTGTTGAAAGGTTTCATCACTACTGCTGACGTCACAATACGCCGGACTCTTTCCTTCATAACGATATTAGACAGGCTCCATGGAGGCATACCCCGATATCTCTAAAGCGCTTCGAGAAGCACCTTCAAAAACTCTGCTTCTGCCCACATTCAAGTTACAGCAGAAAGAAGAAGAATGCGAAGTCGATCTGTTGAAAGATGACAGAGAAGCGACGTGAAGGGAGCAAAGATTCTAAAGGAACGGAGTGGTGTGCTTGCAAGACACCGGAAGCGTCAAGAGCAAGCAGAATATGAAAAAGAAAGATAGGAAGAGTCCTTAGAGGTTACTTTACGAGAAGTGTGTAAGAAAAAAGAGCGTATGATCTTTCCGATAATATTCAATGGTTCTTCTGCGCGGTGCCGAGGCACACCGCCTTATTTGTGCTGTTATTTATTGTCTTAATCGAGTGCGATCGGTACGCCAGTAGAACGTATAGTTGAACCATTACGCTTTTATCACTCCGTCTAAGGGTTCCTTCATACTACGCCGCAGGACGCAGCAGCCTGCCGCAGCACGCCAAGTCCTGCGGCATGCGCCGCTGCAGTCGCAGTGAAAATATACAGTCATGGCAGCACAACTTCGCCGTTATGGATGTATATCCATGTTTGCGGCACGTTCGCCCACTCCCAAAGTGTGCCATCGCAGCGAGCGAGCTTATATTTTGACTGCGGCGGCGCATGCCGCAGGACGCGGCGTGCTGCCGCGTAGTTTGAAAGAATCCTAATACCACCATTCCCACCATTGTATCGTTTTTTCTTGTCGATAAATCATTCTCTGTCCGTTCCACGCGTGCCACTAGTTCCCACTCTACTTTTCATAACAATGAGTATGCGGTACCTGCTTAAAGGCAATGGCTCGGCAAATCTCAACATAGTCAAATTTTCGTTTACCTGGGGTTATTCAATACGCTGATTCCGAAAATCCACTTTTGAGAGCTTGAAAATCCCGAAAACGAGCGTTTTTCAATGCCCTTTCCTTTGGAACTGGAGGAGTGCTGCAAGGCTGATGACGCCGAATCGTTGCAGGACCCAATGGTTATAGCATTGCGGCGGGCAGTCTGCAATGGTGAGAAGTAAATTGCCAACTCGTCCAGACGCGTGTAAGAATGGCCTGCGCGTGTAAGTTTGAGAGGAATTTTCTCGGCAAGGAAGGCATGTTGTGCAATCGGGATTGCACTGTTTCCATACTTGGGCAGTAAGGAGTCTACCGCGTTAAAACTTTAAGTTGTTGAGTTTTGCCGAGCCACTGCCTTTAACACTGTTGATTTGCAGAAAGAAAAGGATTTTGTACGAAAGACGGGAAGCACAATTTCAGAATCGCAATCACCCTTTCCCAATACCCTCCCCCTTCCCCCCCCCCTTCTCCCCAGCATACCTGTACATGTTCCGACTTGGCGTCAAAATGCGCAACAGTGCAGTCAAGATCATAAAGGTACAGAGTGATTGTGCGTCCCGTTACCCTCCTCGCTTCATGTTCACTTGTACATTTTCGATAAATGTTCCTTGTAAAAGCTCGTTCCTATCTTTGCTTCTCCATAGAATAATGAATGAGTTTAGTAAACCAGGAAGGGGCAAGTCAAAGCTATGCAGGACCACTGCCTTTGAACACATCTCAGCATCCTCACGCAGCTGAAGAACCACTTTTGCCAAAAGGGCCGACCTAGCAGCTAACCTCTTCATCGGGATCGGTCCAAAACTGAAGGTAGCGCCCAGGTATTTTGAACGTTTGGTGAACATGGAGAACGACTTGAGGAAAGCATTCAGTAGGAGAAGAAAAGCAGCTTAGGCCGCCTTCAGACCTCTATAGGAAGCCACCGATCAATTGACGGAGAGCTTCGAGCCCACCTTTTCGACGCAACCGTTTTCCGTGCCTATAGGGGATCCATTAGCTGCTTGTGCTTTAACATGGTTTGATGAGTCGTGGTTGAATTTAAGCGCAAGCAGTCCGTTTACACGCTACTGAGGTCTGGTTCGGAGATGAACATCTCAAGGGCGAGTGCTCCATCTACCATAGCCGCTTCACTGACTTTGAAAATGCAACTTGAAAAGCAGAATAATGTCGATAGCGCGTTTCTCTAGCAATCTTTGATCATAATGGACGTATGGGCGCTGAAACAGCTGCGTTCAAGACGCAGAGTCGATTTGGATCCCATAGTTATAACTGTGTGCAATATGCGCACTTTAGCTCACAGTTTAAGGTCGGTGGATGAGTGGTAACATTTGGCCTGCTACGACGGGAGGCTGTGCAGAGCGATTCTCTCGCTTTAGAAAGAATAATTCGAGGTAAGACTTAAAGCATTGTTTGAAAGGACCCATTGTGTGCTACCCTTTATCTCATTATCTTTACATCTGGCCAGGCCCTGTCATTGGATTACCCTTTGATTAAACTAGCCTGGCGGCTGGAAGGCGGGGCTTCCTGACGTAATTAAGATTAGGGTAATGATCAGAGAGCACGCGCGTGGGAGAGACGCAGACGCGTCGCGGCACGAGAGCTTAGTTAGGTTACAAAGCCCGCCTTCCAGCCGCCAAGCCAGTTGAATGAAAGGTTACCTTGCGTTGTCATAGCATTCTTGATAGGACTGGTCTGCCCTTTACTACATACCTCTTCTTTGTGTTGCGAAGAGAATCATATATGGTGTATCCCCAGAATTGTTCCCATATGAACCATCAAAGTGGCTTCTTTCGATCATTTTAACAAGTTAACTTCAAATAACAGCCTTAAATTTGCTGGAGGTAACGTATTAGAGCGATCGAAAAGCAGCCACGTTGATGGTTCATATGGGAACAATTCTGGGGGATGCACGATTCATCGAATGTGCACAAGTAGCACATTGCTGATATGACTCGTGGCTCTAATCTTATGTGCGGAAGAACACTCTAATTAAGATATCTTATAGTCGACAGTAAGCAAGACTGTATAAGGCGACTTACTGCTTTTTCTTGAATTTCTATAATTCGAATCCGCAAACGTTTTAACAAGGTCGCATTTACCCATTATAAAAAACTCACAGATTGCTGGGAAACTGTCAGAGATGCTCTAAACATATTTGTTCAGATAACTGACTGAGAGCTTCTGGATGTGGAGATGGCCAACACATAGAGATTCAAAAATAGCTATGCCTTGCTTCGGGCAAAAAATGAATGCAAACCTTACAACGGGGTACTCGGAAGTGAAATGATCATTCTCAAAGAACCATATGATTGCAGCATGAAACATGTTGATGTAAAAATAATGAGTGTTTTGTGAGTTTTCACTTACGTGCTATAACTCATTAAAAATCCACTTTTTTGATGCAAAGACCATAAGGAGCAGCAATTCTTTCGCAATGTAGCGCACATTCACTATACTCAGATTAAGAAAAAGGAGAAAAATATGGATCGAAAAACAACAGTTCTTTTCATAAAACCTCGAATTTGACAAATCATAATTCAACTCATACTTTGTAAGTGTAGATGATAAGTAGCCTATTTTGTTGCCGCAAGCCAATAGTACAAAAATTAGAAAAAGCGTAAACAACAGGTTTGCGAAAAGAAAAAAAATCAAATCCCAGTGCCACATTTTTTTCAACATCTTTCCATAGGTCTCAGAGTCCCTAATGTGAGTTTTTTGATTTCCTGCGTACAGAACAGTTATCGTTTTGCAAAAAAACTGTCAGCGGGAAGCCCTACCCTTACGCTCACAGAAATGAGCAAACTTGGCAATTGCTCTTTTCAGTAGAGAAAGGGCCACAGAATGACCACAATTACACGTAGATGTCGATATCTCAAGTCGCAAGGAAAGCAATTTGGCCCGGCCGATCTAGATACGGATAGATCGCCGTAATGCGCTTGAAACGCTGATTCCAAATCTGTTGTTTCTAGCTGCGGAACGGTTCTGTAGAGGGAGTTATGAAAAGCGTTTCCCTCCGAGCCGCCCATCAAATGTCGGCTTTTGTCGATGACCAATATGTTAGGTTGTCCCGAAAGTTTTGTCCGTTTTTTCAAACTACTATAAAACCATGCACAATAAAGACCTGAATGAGTTTCGACATGCATTCGGTGCAGCTTTTAATTCTCTTTCTTAAGGATACATTTTCGATCCATAACCTTGTATGATTTTTTTGATAATTGCCGAAATTCTCCACCAGGCAATTTTATCTGTTCAAGGTTAGGCTAATTTTTAAAAATTTCATTCCAAAGTTCCGGGAAAGATTAAGTATGGATCAGACAGAGCAATTCTCGGGCTACAAGGTGGCATTTTTATATTTTCGTATTCTGCTGCTTTTAGCCAAAAAATATTATTTTTCTCGGAGGTCTCGATTATTGGCCAATCGTGAAACATGCAATTGCAGCAAATCCACGAAAGCTTTTGAAATTTCTTTGAATTGAAACATGATTCCTATTAAACATTATTTATGCAACATAACCAAGTTTGATTTGCTTCAAAAAAGCAGCTTTTTGGGATTTTCGGTACTTTTACGCGGTAAACGTTATCAAAAAGCCGCCGTTTTTAGTACATAAATAATTAAACGGACTTGGTAAACGTGATCAATGTAATCGAAAATAAGTACGATGTAGCCAAAGGTTTGTTCTACATAACAGTTATCAGCGCTCTGTGAAAACATTAGGATAAAAATTTTTGAGATTCGGGAAAGATTTGACGTAACTGCTAAGCTGGTCAAGAATGCGATAAGATTGCAAAGACAGGGTAGATCACAGAGCAAATATAGCTGTAAGAAAGAGGATAAAAATCTGAATCAGTTATTTAAGCCTCCGTGAATTGGTGTTCTGCGAGTTTTAGTGAGCAATGAAAAAATCGGACAAAATTTTCGGGACAACCTAATAGAAGCACAATATGGTGTCAAATGGCATGTTGGTGACTTGAATGAAGATTGTAACACAGATTATGATACTTACTACTACCTTGGTTTTTATTTAGAATTTCTAGTGTAACACAGATTATGATACTTACTACTACCTTGGTTTTTATTTAGAATTTCTAGCTTCGATTTGCCCTATATCATAATAAATTTCAGGCTTTGGTGCTCCAAAGCCATTTAAAGGCTTAATTTTGCAAAGATTGCATAAAATTGCATACGAAGGTACTAAAACCTGTGACACTCTCTTTATCAAGCTATATAGCCCGTAGACAAGGACTGATATGTTGAAGGGCGCCTCAACCTCGAAGAAGCAACTCCTCATAACTCCTTTCACAGAACCGTTCCACAGCTAGAAACAATAGATTTTGAACCAACGCTTCAAGCGCATTACGATGATATATGCCTCATCTGATTGGCCGGGGCGAGGGATTCTTTCTGTCAGACGATCTCAAATAACCTTTACTTCAACCAGATTGGCTGCTGGAAGGCGGGCTTCATGACTTAGGAGGCGACTGCTCGCGTGCGCGACGCACGCTGTGCCTCCCCGCGAACATGCTCTCTCTGATCATTTTCTAGCCTTGATTTAGTACGGAGTACCGCCTTCTAGCCGCCGATATGGTTGAAACAAGGGGTATCTAATCAAGTGTGCGCAATTAAACAATCTTTATTACCGCACCAGCTGAATTTCTGAATGAATGCGATCGTTCGCGACGATTTCTGGAAAAGAACGTAAGGAAATTATGGTTTTGAGTTCTAAGTGCGCTTGTCATGAAAGAAGGCTTAGAAAAACGCTCTAATTTTGCGCCAACTCATCCAGGTTTGTATTTCGCGCATGCATATTCTTGCAAAGAATTGCTCATGACTGGCTGGTCAAAGCAGTTGCACGCTTTCAAAAAATCTCTATTTCTCGTACTTTACAGCTGTGGCGGTCTCAGGATTTCGGGGGAGGATGGCGCGACAAAAACGCTTTCGAAAAATTCATTGAGATGCTTCTCAAAATTCTGCGAGCATCTAACCCCGAAATTTAGAAAAGGGTCGCAGTGCGGTCAACGCCCAGGAAAACATTTACAGGGCTATTTAAACATTTCCAAAATTTATCTCAGTCATTCACGAGTATAAAAAAGTCACTTGCACACTACCCATGTAAGCAAATTTCGGTCTTGAAGTGCTTGATCACGGTCTATCGTCAATCTTTATCCAACTTTGATTTGCAATTTTTGTTAATTTTTCGAGTTTGAATTACTTTGCAGGCTATACATTACGATTAGCACCGCCAATAGACCATGACCCGGCAATTTTGTTAATCATTCATGAGCGAAGCACGGTATAACTATTGTTGCAATGGCTGCATACTTTTAGCAGCATTGCATTTTCAGGTAATAGTTCGATCACCTGTAGACAACGACAAAAATCATCGTCACATTTGCTCTTCCCAAGCTGGAGACTATAACATTCGTCATGGTAAGCGCAGCAATGATTGACATCTGCTGGAAAGAAGTCAATCGGCGCATGGTTATTATAATGGTTTATCGCTCTCCACTTCTCCCATCAGATATTGTGTAGCTTACAAGAGATAACAACAATGCAATCGCGCAGATGTTGAGAATATTATGACTCATTATGAACGGACTAACTGTTGTTCTGCTTGTCAATAAACTAGAGCGAATCCAGCAAAGGTTTTAAGCTAAAATTTTGATAAAAGCACCCTATCGACATGGAGGTTCACCATGCGAAATCCGATCTGGTCACTTGTGTAAATCCTACAAAAACTGCATGTCAAACAGACCCACATGTCTCTAAGCTCACAAAACTGTGCCCGTGTTTGGATAATTTGCGAGCTCGTGGATTTGCTCTCCATGTAGATAGGTAAGCCATCAAATACAGCTCAAAAACTAGCCTAGAAATATGTTGTCGTGTAAAAATAGCGTCAAGAAGAGTAGGTGGAGTAACTAAATTTCTTTTCAGCTTCCACCTAATGAATAAAGAAGCTTTTGGCTCTGTGATGTAACTTATGGCGGTCTTTGTCCTTGATGGCGACCATCACCCCATAAGAAATTCAGCAACTTTTTGCTTTATTCTTCTGCAGAAAAATTTCATCTTTCCAAAGATACCGATCTTACATGAAAAAGCTTTTGAAATGAGCAATTGTTATCATTCGCGACGGTCGGCATTGCGCGGTAAGTTTCAACCATAGAATGAACGTGAAGAGGACATACAGATAGTAGAACCACTGCCAGCCTAAGCGAAGCAGAGGTGACGCACTGATGTTAATTCATTCACGACCATACGAGTAGGAAAAACGATTTTATCTTCTTTGAGGAAGCGATCTCGGACGACATCTTTACTGTTAAGAGAAGAAAGTTTAGCGGTCCAATGATTTGAAAATCCTAGACGTATGAATGCTTTGAAGACAAGTGATAGGGTGTGGCACATTCATTCATTCATTATTCATACTTTCATACTCTTATTCATACTTCATACTTTTACTCATACTTTAGAGTTTCACTGCCAGCTGTCTACTGGATAGCAACCTATAAGCACAAAGTCGTCAACAAAAGTCAGGTAGCGAAGTTGTCTTCTAGCAAAATTGAATCCTTCCCCATCTCTCCACTGGATCGATTCAAGTGCAGACTGACAGGTTGTTAATAAGTGGTGGCAAAACGTCTCCATTTTAACCTAATTCTGTACTTCACATGGAGCACTGCTGTGACCAAGCTGGAGTGATGCAGCTGCTGCTTGGTACAGGAGTTGTATCATTGTAATCGTATCAGTATCGACGCTGCAGTACCGGATTCCCGAATTGCATTTGAAACAATGTCAAACGCTTTTGAATGTCGAGGAAGAGAAGTGCAATTGGTAAATGGTACTTATGTGTTCTCTTACAGGAAACGTCCAAGCAAATTTGGACTTACAGGATTTTACGTGAAAAGTAACGTTGGGGCCCTAACCAAGGCACTGCCTAAGCGGCAGCGCAGGTGACTCACTAAGTCAAACTGGACCCCAGGATCGTATTTCGCATGGAATGATGGCGCAACCCATCAGTTTCGCGCGAGGACCCACGCGAAACTGATGGGTTGCGCCATGAATCCATTATTAATCCAATCCGCCATGAATTACGATAGTGGAGTCCAGTTTCGAGGGAAATATCTCAGCCATTAGAGCACTGCCTGAGCTGCCGGTTGGGCAGTGCCTTAGTTAGAATCCCTTACTATCCACGTAAGATCCCCATATGTCCAGACTTGCCTGATCGCTGCCTTCAATAAGTTGAATTTTAGCTTCTAAGTGATCAGTCGTTAAGAACCTTTGTCGAAACCCACCTGGTCAACTGACAACAGATTGCATACTTTACTTTTAATCGACACGCCAGGGCTCTTGTTAAAACTTTATAGATTGTCGGTAAGAGCGAGATTGGACAATAGTTCTTACTGTCGTGGTGGTCGCCTTTTTCTGTGGAGAGTATCATGGTAGCATGTACGTACTTGATAGAAATATTATCATCTTCGAATAATAGGTTTCTGATGTTTGCGAGCGAGGTGCAACGACTTCTAAGCCATACTTACAAGGGAATGGTCAGAAGTCGAAGTGGCCAAACCAAAGAAGCTGTATACCATTCGATGCAGTATAAAACGCTGACTACGAATCTGTCTTCCTTATCTGCTTCCCGCTTCTGTGGACGAAGCTACAAGCGGTTTTATCATTTCATATAAAAGAATCGTAATGTGGAAAAATGCATTTTTTGCAGAGAAGGACTTTCAAGCAGTCGGTAGTCCTTTGAAGGACGGCTGCGGGACACCGGTGTGCGCGTTTGCACGGGTCCTTTAATTTTTTGAGGCATTGTAGCATTCACGTCGTGGATTCGTATTCTTCTTCGATCGTCTTGTAAGTCTCTTGTGTGTTCTTCTCGATTAAGTTGCTACGTTTGGGGATTTTGGGAATGTTCATTTTCACGATCATCGCATTTCGTCAGATATGCTTTCCTGTCTTCGGCTGCCATGAAAGCCTCACATCCCCACTTAGTAGACCTTTAACCACGTTTGACTGGAATGTCATGGATGTTTGTCTCTTCTCCCAGCTTTATTCGCTTAAAATGGCATCTCCACTGACGACAACTACACGTGAGAGTTGCCTCACTTTTGGCCCATTTTTCGTCCCTTTTTTGAAAGAATCTAAAGATTTCAACAACGTTTACAATTGAGAGACTTTTTCTAATCCCGTATTCAGATCCCTTGCCAGATGAAGGCGCAGAATCCAAGGGCGCGAACGGCTTCACTCGTTGAGCGCATGTAGCGTTGGAGTCATAAAGTGTAGCTGCCCGTGTCCGCGTTCGCGCCCACTCAGCTAAAATCGCTTCGGGCGCCTTCGTCTGGCAGCAGACTCTACCTTTTCTGTGTTGCGCCCCGTTTCGCTTGCTGCAATCGTGCAGCAAGCACCCCTCCTCCCTCAGAACTACCTACTCACTCGTGTTGTTCATGTACAAGCTCGTCTTTGCTGTCAAGCGATGATAGGGCTGTCTACATCATTTCTTATAAAAGAATCGTAATGTGGAAAAATGCATTTTTTGCAGAGAAGGACTTTCAGGCAGTCGGTGGTCCTTTGAAGGACGGCTGCGGGACACCGTGTGCGCGTTTGCACGGGTCCTTTAATTTTTTGAGGCATTGTAGCATTCACGTCGTGGATTCGTATTCTTCTTCGATCGTCTTGTAAGTCTCTTGTGTGTTCTTCTCGATTAAGTTGCTACGTTTGGGGATTTTGGGAATGTTCATTTTCACGATCATCGCATTTCGTCAGATATGCTTTCCTGTCTTCGGCTGCCATGAAAGCCTCACATCCCCACTTAGTAGACCTTTAACCACGTTTGACTGGAATGTCATGGATGTTTGTCTCTTCTCCCAGCTTTATTCGCTTAAAATGGCATCTCCACTGACGACAACTACACGTGAGAGTTGCCTCACTTTTGGCCCATTTTTCGTCCCTTTTTTGAAAGAATCTAAAGATTTCAACAACGTTTACAATTGAGAGACTTTTTCTAATCCCGTATTCAGATCCCTTGCCAGATGAAGGCGCAGAATCCAAGGGCGCGAACGGCTTCACTCGTTGAGCGCATGTAGCGTTGGAGTCATAAAGTGTAGCTGCCCGTGTCCGCGTTCGCGCCCACTCAGCTAAAATCGCTTCGGGCGCCTTCGTCTGGCAGCAGACTCTACCTTTTCTGTGTTGCGCCCCGTTTCGCTTGCTGCAATCGTGCAGCAAGCACCCCTCCTCCCTCAGAACTACCTACTCACTCGTGTTGTTCATGTACAAGCTCGTCTTTGCTGTCAAGCGATGATAGGGCTGTCTACATCATTTCTTATAAAAGAATCGTAATGTGGAAAAATGCATTTTTTGCAGAGAAGGACTTTCAAGCAGTCGGTGGTCCTTTGAAGGACGGCTGCGGGACACCGTGTGCGCGTTTGCACGGGTCCTTTAATTTTTTGAGGCATTGTAGCATTCACGTCGTGGATTCGTATTCTTCTTCGATCGTCTTGTAAGTCTCTTGTGTGTTCTTCTCGATTAAGTTGCTACGTTTGGGGATTTTGGGAATGTTCATTTTCACGATCATCGCATTTCGTCAGATATGCTTTCCTGTCTTCGGCTGCCATGAAAGCCTCACATCCCCACTTAGTAGACCCTTAAGCACGTTTGACTGGAATGTCATGGATGTTTGTCTCTTCTCCCAGCTTTATTCGCTTAAAATGGCATCTCCACTGACGACAACTACACGTGAGAGTTGCCTCACTTTTGGCCCATTTTTCGTCCCTTTTTTGAAAAAATCTCAAGATTTCAACAGCATTTTCTTTTAAGAGCTTGATTTCCTTTTCCCGTTGGTATCATTTTCAAAAGTCTGTCTTCAATAATCGCTGAGTTATGAGGATTCAAACTGTCCGCCAAAGCTTTGACATAGAGTCGCCGTGGATCCTAACTGTGGCAGCAAGCACACCGTAGTGCAGAGAAGGATATTCGCATGTGGCGGCTTCCTGTTTGGGGCGTAAGCCTGCCAACTTTGCAAGGAGATTTTTCGCTTTTGGTCTAACGCCACCTCACATGCTTTTAAGAGGGAGAAAAATAAGTTAAAGTACCGTGGCTGTCGGATTCTCGAAAATTATTGAAGCAACATTGTCAAGGCAACATAGCTACATTTTTGGGAAAGAGGAGGACAGTTTGCACATTACTGCGGCTTTTCTGGGAAAAAATGGTTTTGTGGAGGTTCTCCTGGAATCTGAATGGGGGAGACTTATGACATTCATAAAAGAAAACTATGCAAGAAATGGCTGAATTAATTTGTAACTTTTTGTTTCTACTTGCCTAAATACGGGGATTTATTGATGAAATGTCTAAAATGGAGAGAGTCTGAACATTCGGGGAAGCCATGTCAAAAAATAGTGTGGTCCTAAACACATCACAGTACATGGTGAATGAAAAGCATGGACTCACGCTTGTGTCTGCTGTTTTCGTCAAGAAATAATATAAACAACTAGGGTTAATTATTATTGCGGAGACATTCTAATATGCAGTCAAGAAAATGTGCTTCTGTGCATGCAATTATACGGGCTCCAAAAGCTTATTTTCTGATTTAACTTGTTCGGAAAATGCTATGTTGAGGATACGATGCGTTCCAGCAGTTTTCCTAATCCGAAAAAATTGTAATGAATGCAGTTATGTGGAGAATAGTCTAAGTAACACGACCATGTCTTAACATCATTACTACCTCTAACCTAAAGCAGATTACACTGCTCTGAAAACGGTGCTGACTCGAGCCGCACTGCTGGTTAAACAAAATCTCATTAAGAAGCTTTACTAGCATTAAAATGGGCTTTTATGCGATTTTCACTTCTGGTGTAGAGGCCATTTATGACCCAGCGGGCGCTAGAACCATAAAGATGTTTTAAAAAGATACAACATATATTGTAACACCCTGCTTTTACTTTTCTACTACTTTCGGCCACCCTGTAAAGCAAAGACTTAGGAGAAGGGACAAGTTCCACCCATATAACACAACATCACCTCCGCGGGCTACCGGATTTTACAGGTGTGTGACTGTGCGGCTGTCGTAAATATTGAGGGATTATCCTTCCTATGTAAGTCAGACAGGCTTTGACATACAAAATCGAAAGTGGCTTCAATAATTTACCTCTTTTAAAACCTTCTTGGAACATGTTGTTAATTTTTGAGAAGATACATGCTTTGGTCTACAATATGTAATATCCTGTGTCCATCAAAATACTCTTGAGTCCGGTTTCAAACCTAAAGCTTGCATGGCAATTATGGTAGGCCTTTGAGGTGATTTTGCGCCTAGGAGTCATTGGGCCGCTAGTTGTGAATAAAATCATGCATAAAAACAGCGAAATCAAACACATTGTTGCACTTTTAGCTCAGCTTCTGGCTTCAAAAATCTTAAGTAAGCTAGTTGCATGTTTTGGCCCAGCATTGAGGCGAACGTGGCTCTGTACGGCTAAATTTTCAATTTTACGCATAATTTCTAAGCAGAATAATGGTCTTTAATCTTATAGCTTCGTCCAGAAAAGCGATAAGCAGGTAAGGAAGATAGATTTAGAGACAGCGCTTCATGCTGCATCTAACGGTACGTAGCTTGTCTGGAATGGCCACTTCGATTTCTGACCATTCCCTTGTTAGCAGCTTATGGCAGCGACACCTTGATTAGGATTGTACCACACCCTATTCTTATCCCTTGTAATTTTCACAGCAGTCATTTTAGCATAATTTGTCTTTTTTTGAACTGAATTTCACATACTGAAAGCACAAACTTTAATAGCGAAAATGGAACAAACAAATTTTGGCTGACTTTTGATTGCATCATTTGGCAGTAATTTGCAGCGATTTCTCATGTGAACAAAGACGGAAGTGCTTTGTACAGGGTATGTACAGTGGCTTAATATTTGAAAACTCAGAATTCGCCAAAATGGTTCACAAAGGTTATTTTACTTGCTGATCATGAATATGTCGCTCATTATGCTACTTAGGGCCTCATGTCATACCCACGATAGGTATGCGATAATGCTGAGAGGTTCAGACAATAGGCGGAGAGGGGTGGGGAAGGCCGTATGAACTTACCAGCATATATATGACAACTGCCACGCATAGACCGGTAAGACAGATCAGTCATAAAATTGTCGTTACCGCAAAACCAGTCTTCTTTAGATATCGCATAATTAGTGGAAAGTGGAAGCATGATACACAGAATTAGCCAGCTGATGAATCGCATGCTAAATGAGCACTTTATAGCATGGGGTGTTCTTGTAAATTTTTGTAAATCGTTCTAGCGCAAAAACCCTATCTTTTTTCCATCGTGTTTGGCATGAAACTCCGTAGAGCCTGTGTTGCCTTTCACAGATGACATCAGGTGGAAGGTTGGAGTTCAAGATTTTTTCGGGAGGGAGATGCAAAACATGAAATACAAGACTAGTTTGAATTCCGATAAAATTTGGGAATTTTTCTGTCATTTACTGAAAATAAGCCATTTGTATGAACTTTTCACTTGTAGATCTCTCTCAAAAATTTCGCGACCCATTCTCAACGAGAAGGGAGAGGGGGGGGAGAAGCTAAGTCTATTACTGGGTCTGGGTGCAGAGCTAGGCATGATGCTACCCCAACCAAAATAAACCTCGGGTGGCAAAAAGCAATGGGATTATGGTACGCACAAAACCGCTCGTAATCCGTGAAAATCCGCAGCATTGTCAGAGTTCAGAAAGCGCCGCATCGCCTTCTTTAGAATGGACGAATTCGGCATTCAAGTGCATAAATTCATTTCAGCTCGATAGGGCATATCTCTTTACACCATGACTTATAATAAGCCGCTCAACCCGTGTGGAGTTTGTCCGTTACGAGATCACAGTGAGGAATAATTTACGATACCCTAAGCGTTGATATCTCACAGCGAGGGTTCATTTAACTGGGAACTCGCCTCAGGCAACTTTGGAATGATGTGAGAAACAACCTATTAGAGCGTATTAGCACTTTCCGTGATGACCAGTGCGAGCCTCTGCGAAGCAGAGGTGAGGCTATCTTAGTACGGTAGCTAGACAGCGGGAGCCAGTCAGCTGAAATATTAGGTCGTTCCGAAAGTTCTTTCCGTTTTTCTAACCTATCATAAAAACACAATGAATAAAGGTAGGGAAACGCTTTGGGCACTATCCGACGCAGCGTTTCTTCCTCTTTCTAGCAGTCATATTCCCATGTCGCTTACTCTTGTGATCACTGAGATAATCCCGAAATTTTGAACACATGGTTTTTAACATATCCAAATTTGGCAATTTTTCACAATCTTCGTTTTTAACTTTCTGAGATTCTTTGATAGCAATCAAATAGAGTAAACAAAGTGCAATGCAATACATTTTTTGGCAAATCTAGCTGGCTTTTCAGTATCTTTTGAGATAATTTTTCCAAAAGTCTTCACTTTTGCAAAGACCCAAAATACAGAAACGCCCCGAACACTGGCAAGTATACGGATTTTGAAGCTTTTTGAAGTCAGTTACGATATCCAAAATTTTTACAAAGCAAATGAGCGTTTACCGCTTGTAAATATAAGGTTTCGCACTTTACGTGTACAGGCTGGGGCGGGTTCAAAATCAAGAATTATGGAAATTTTATCGCCAAAATCCCCCACAAATTGGGAAGAAAAATACACAATAGAAAGAGGATTGAAAGCTGCATCGAATGACACCTTAGTTGTGCGCCGTTTTGTTTTATGGTTCTTGGCATCACCAAAAGTGGAATTTGATAACATCAGAAAAATAATTCTTAAAAATTTTTTAGGCTAGCTATAGATACCAAAACATTCCATCAAATTGCACTTTGCTTACTCTATCTGGCTGCTATCAAAGCTTCTCAAAAAGTCAAAAAAGAAGATAGTGAAAAATTGCCAAAGTTAGACACGGTGAAAACCATGGGTTCGAAATTTCGGCCATTATCTCACTGACCAGAAGAGCAAGCGGTACAGATATAGGACTGCTAAAAAGAGGAAAAAAAGCTGTCTCGGATAGTTCCTGAAGCGTTAGCCTACCTTCATTCCATACGTTTTTATGATAAGTTGAAATAACGGAAAGAACTTTCGGAACGACCTAATATATGTACTCTTTAACACGTTCACGACAATACGACCACTGGTGGGTCGTAAGATTCCCGAAGCTCTAGCTTTGCCAATCTACGATGGAATTTTACGGATTCTGGCGCATAATTAGGCATACCTAGGCGAAGCGCAAGCCAGTGGTCCAGGCTGGGGATACTGTAATGTAATGTTACGGTAGGTATACCGTAGAGAGAGATAAGGCACAGACTTTAGCGCAAATTTTTCGCAGGATGATGCTGTTTCTGAACGTTCAAGTGTACATGCGCAAGAAATACGGGCGGGCGAGACTAATATCAGCCACTAGCTGGCTTACCCGGCTCCGCCGTATCCGGACCAAACTTGGCACACATACACTTCGGGCCCCGGCGGGTGTCACAGTCCACTTTTCGTTATCGATCGATGTCGATTTTACCGATTTTTATCGATTTTTTTGCAGAGTTCACCTACAGGGCTAGGAGTTGGCACAGGGGGGAAGTGAGCATGGGGATTCCGAATACAATATTAGTTTTCAGAATTATCGATTACTTTTATTGATTTTATCGATTTTTTGTAAATTTTGACATGCGAGGCTGGGATTTTGCACAGGGGGGTAATCGAGCATGCTGATTACGAACACAATATTAGTTTTCAGGATCGTCCATTACTTTTATCGATTTTATCGATTTTTTGTAAATTTTGACATGCGAGGCTGGGATTTTGCACAGGGGGGTAATCGAGCATGCTGATTACGAATACAATATTAGTTTTCAGATTCGTCCATTACTTTTATCGATTTTATCGATTTTTTGAAAATTTGAGCTAGGGGGCTGTAATTTGGCAGGGGGTGTAATCGAGCATGCTGATCACCCCCCTTGGGGATGATCAGCATGCTCGATTACCCCCCTGTGCCAACTCCCAGCCCCGTAGCTCAAACTTTGCAAAAAAATCGATAAAATCGATAAAAGTAATCGATAATCCTGAAAACCAATATTGTATTCGGAATCCCCATGCTCGATTACCCCCCTGTGCAAACTCCCAGCCCCGTAGCTCAAACTTTGCAAAAAAATCGATAAAATCGATAAAAGTAATCGATAATCCTGAAACCAATATTGTATTCGGAATCCCCATGCTCGATTACCCCCCTGTGCCAACTCCCAGCCCTGTAGGTGAACTCTGCAAAAAAATCGATAAAAATCGGTAAAATCGGCATCGATCGATAACGAAAAGTGGACTGTGACACTTGCCGGGGCCCGAAGTGTATGTGTGCCAAGTTTGGTCCGGATACGGCGGAGCCGGGTAAGCCAGCTAGTCTCATATAAAAATAGGCTCATAATTATGCGAACACCCCATTATTTGCCGTTTTCCAGATATCTTGGAAAAAAATGCAAGAAAGAGTGCAGCTTCAGCAGACCCAAAAGATCTTTGGTATGTATGCACATCGCGAACTTGATTTTGTGTATAATGTACAAGATTCTTACGTCATACAATAAAAATTCAGTCATAGAGCACTTTCTTCCTACCACGCACTCAGCATTCAGCGAAAGGGAGTAAGCAAATCAACGCAAGCATGCCTCCTCTTGCTTTTTAGCTCCGGTGCATTGAGGATAGGTTTGCGGAGTATTTAAAAACTTTGGCACCGACGTATCACCATTCGAACGATGCATTTGCCTCATCACAGAACTTTGCGGACGGTGAAGCCGAGTTTTGAGGCTCACAAGTGCGCCAACTCTATGGTGTGGTTGGGTTGGGTTGCCAGCTGGAACGGCTACAACAATGTTTTTGAGCTTTGAAACAGCACATTTATTGATCCCTGATCCTTTATCCGTACAAACTAATTAAAAGTTTGAAACCTCAAGAAAGCAGGCACTATTGGAGCCAACTTGGTCCGGAGCAGTTTGGAGCTATGGAAATAGAGTAAAGCTCTCCTTTTCAAATCTTATTGGGTTTAGCGCGTAGTATGTACCTCAGACTTTGAAATTTTAGCCTTACATGAAAGTTGAACGAAAAAGGTTGCAACCTCAAGCCACAAAAGAGCTCTGATTGAGGTGTTCTTATAATTATGGACCGGCCAAAAAAGCGTTCGGCGCACAGTGCTTCTCCAAATTTGACACCGGGAATAATATCCACGAAAGTCCATAATGGAGGAAAATGGAATTCCAAACCCCATTTCATTCGTTCGCGGTAGAAACTGGTCGGAATCTGCTTTCGCTAGCGTTATCCAAAGAAAATTTCTCATCGCAACCACAAGGCAAAGCGGTTTGATGAAAATGATACAATCTGCTTGAGCTCTCGCTTGCGGAGAAAACATGCGAAAAGTCCATTTAAAATGGGGCAAAATGGGATTTACCTCCATTTTAAATGGACTTAAAAGCCCATTTTATTTACTTCCAGCAGCAAGGTGAGCTGGGACTAAGCCCATTTTTGACCTTTTTGCATATTTTTGATGGCGATTTTTTGGGAATGTGTTCCTTAGCGCATTCTATGGTAGCAAGTAAGTGGAAAAATTTACAGGTCTTTTATGAAGTCTGAAATAAGTGTTTCTTTCTAAACTCGTACAATCGCTACAAAAATCATGGAAGAAGGTTAAATGCACTAAAATATTCGCTTAAAACTCAAATGCTTCCAAATTTGTACAGCACAAGTTCCTATAAGATGAGCATTTTGATTCACGGCGCAGCGCAAGTCCAGCCAAAGTTTGCTTTTCGCAGAGAGCTCTACATTCATTCATTCATTCTTTATTCATACTCGACGGTTTATTGCAAGCATGTAAAATACCGTGATGAAGATGTCAACGGCTTCAGGTGTTCAATAGTGAGACTGCATATGATTTTTCAAGTCTTTTCCATTGATAAGGGTCTTTTAGTTCTTTTTGCCAATAACGAGTGAGTTTTGAGTCAATACAATGAGTTCGAATATCATCTTTCCATCGTCTTCTGGGGGTCTGCCGTCACCGAAACATCGACCGGTGGCTAGTATCCAATTCATTAAAGCTCTTGTCCATCTTTCTTCTCCCTTACACACTAAGCTTTTCCTTGCAAATCTCCATTTTCTTTTTCGTATAACTCTAACAACGTCCTTGAGCTTCTCAGCTAACAAGGGAACGATACTCAATGTCCGTAGCCTTTTGAGACGAGATGCATACCGT